GGGTGAGGATCAATGAGGTGCCAAGGAGAGTGGGTTTCCAATTTTTAGTAAGGTATTTCTTTCTGGTTACAAAAAACATGTTAATCACAGAAACTTTGGAAAATATACAAAAGTATAAAGTAGAAAATAAAAAATCCTACAGCCTGGCGATAACCACTGTCAACATGGCGGAACTCTCCACCACTTTCATGCATCTCAGCGTTCCCGAGACACAGGATCCATGCCCTCGATGGCCTGGCTTTCCCACAAAGGGGTGATGCTTAGGTTGGAGAAAACACAGAATTTGGACAAGTGTGCAGGTGTATCGGGCAGCAACTGCTATCATGCTGTGTAATGAGCAAGCTCAAACTTGCCCTGGCTCACAGGTAGAAGAAGCACTTGTTTTCTCCCTCATGAGTCTCTGGCTCGGCTGAGGATTGGTGGATTTAGGGGCATCCCAGCTGCAGGTTGGGTCCATCTCTGCTCTCATGACTCGCATCCTCTTGGAACGAGGGGGGCTCCCTGAGGCAGGTTCTCTTCATGGGCGAGCTCACGGGTGGTAAGTGCACTGCACAATCATGTTTTAAGCCTCTGTGTCATAATCCACTGATATCTTTTTTTTTTTTTTTTTTTGAGACGGAGTTTTGCTCTTGTTACCCAGGCTGGAGTGCAATGGCGCGATCTCGGCTCACCGCAACCTCCACCACCTGGGTTCAGGCAATTCTCCTGTCTCAGCCTCCTGAGTAGCTGGGATTACAGGCACGCGCCAACATGCCCAGCTAATTTTTTGTATTTTTAGTAGAGATGGGGTTTCACCATGTTGACCAGGATGGTCTCGACCTCTTGACCTCGTGATCCACCCGCCTCGGCCTCCCAAAGTGCTTAGATTACTTTTAATACCTAATACTATGTGCTCTATAGTTGTTGTACTATATTTCTTTAAATTTGTATTATTTTTTATTGTATCTTTAATTTTTAATGTTTTTCTTTTTTCTGAATTTTTTTTTAGACAGAGGTTTGCTGTTGTTGCCCAGGCTGGAGTGTGATGGTGCTGTCTTGGCTCACTGCAACCTCCTCCTCCGGGGTTAAAGTGATTCTCCTGTCTCAGCTTCCCAAGTAGCTGGGATTACAGGTGCACACCACCAAGCCCAGATAAATTTTAAAAATACTTTTAGTAGAGATGGGTTTTTTCTTAATTGTTTCATCTGGGGCTGGTTGAATCTGGAACATTTTTGATCTGTGGTTGGTTGAATCCAAAGGTGAAACCTGTGTATGCAGAGGGCTGACCACACTGAGCCAAAGGACATTTTTTAAGCCTCTCAGGACCCCTTAGCAAGTTGCTTTCCAGAGAGTTTATGTAAACAATTCCACGATGACCCTAAAAGAATTTCTCTATTAGCTTTAAATTATTTTGACAGGCAATAATGGTATGATTGAAATATTTTTATGTTTATAGGCCATTTTAATTTATTTCATGGTTTGCTGAAAATGAGCAACTGATGTCATTTTTTTGACTTTATAAGAGCTCTTTAAATGTCAAAAACATTGATCCTTTCCCAAATTCCTCACCATTTACCCCCAGCTTACTGTCTTTGGATATTTGGATGTGCTCCGAAGTAGATGTATTTGTAACTTTTTATGTGGTTAGATAGTTTCTGGGTGTTACTCCTGTTGTTCTCATGCTTCCGAAGTCCTTCCCCATTGAAGACCAGGTGAGCATGAACCACGTTTTCTTCTTTTTGACATTCAGGGCTGGGCACGGTGGCTCACGCCTGTAATCCACTGCGGGAGGCCGAGGCAGGCGGATCACTTGAGATCAGGAGTTTGAGACCAATCTGACCAACATGGTGAAACCCTGTCTCTACTAAAAACATAACAATTAGCTGGGCATGATGGCAGGCGCTTGTAATCCCAGCTACTCAGAAGGTTGAGGCAGGAGACTCACTTGAACTTGGGAAGAGGAGGTTACAGTGAGCTGAGATTGTGCCACTGCACTCTAGCCTGGGCTACAGAGTGAGATTCTGTCCAAAGGAAGGAAGAAAGAGAGAGAGAGAGAGAGAGAGAGAGAGAGAGAGAGAGAGAGAGAGAGAGAGAGAGAGAGAGAGAGAGAGAGAGAGGAGAGAGAAGGACAGAAGGAAGGAAGAGAGAGAGAAAGAAAGAAACAAAGAAAGAGAGAAAGAAAGAAAAGGGAGGCAGGGAGGAAAAGGAAGAGGTGGAGGAGAGAGAGAGAAAGAGGAAATTCAGATGCCCAGTGTTTCTCTGCCTGTGATTTCAGAGCTGTCTGCATTGGAGCCACCAGATTTCTGGGCCTCACCCTAGAATGAGAGTCACCGAAAGGAAGCTGTAGTTCTCTCCATTTTTAGCAAGTTTCTCATGTGGTTTCCGTAAACATTAAAGTTTGAAAACCACTGCTGAAAAGAATTATAGAACACAAGTTGAGAAAGAACACAATTTGATCCCCCTTCCCAAGAGCCAGTTTCCCCAGCACCAGCCATTTGGTAATAATCCAGCTCTTCCAGGACGGTCCATGGGAAGAATTTTCTCTTGCTTAAAGTTGCTCAAAGCAGGAATTTGTTGGAGGTAATGAGCTCTCGGTCTCAAAATGTCCAAGCCCAGGACTGTTGGTGTCTTGAGATCCCACGATTCATCCAATTGGGAGGTCAGATGAAATGACATTTTATACTGTACCCGAACTAGTGCTTTTTTTTTCCTCCAAATGCCCTCGAAAGTTTTTCTCCAGCTTTCGATATAGAACCCACAAGAAAAGTGCTTTGAGGGTGCAGGGTCAGGGCAGAGCGAGCTTTCTGTATGGCAAAAAGCCGAGAAAGGAGAAACAGCATTCTGGTACCTCCCAGCAGCCTGAGGTAGCTGCGCCATTAAATGCGATGCCCTGTGTCCTGTTCATGGCCCCAGTCCTGCCCAGGGGAGGCTGGGAGCTCCCAAGATACCCAGATGCTGGCTGCAAATTGGTGGCCAGGCCATTGCCACGCCAAGCAATGTTTCCAATCACTCTCCTTGAGATTGTCTGAGCTAGATCAAGCACGACAGGTGCACAGCAGGCAGGTGACAGGGGACAGAATGACATAGAGCCCTGGAAGGCACAGCCATCAAGCCAGAGAACTGTGCCCTGGGTGTAGAAGGCAGTGCTCTCTCCAGCACCTCCCGGGAAGTCAGACAGGGTTCAGACAGCCCTCCCGGAATGCCTGGTTCAGCCCCATCTTGCAGAGGGAATTCCGAGGTCCAGGTTGGGGAAGTTGGTGGTCACAGTGGAGCAGTGCCCAGCTTTAGCACGTAGGTTTTGCCATTACTCTGAAGCAGTGGTTCTAAAAATGTAACCCCAGGACCAGCGGCATCTGCCCCATCCGAGGACTTGTTAGAAATGCAGATTCTAGGGCCTGGATGCTCTGGAGGTGGCCCACACTTTGTACTGATACAGGCCCTCCTGATGCATATTCAAACCTGAGACCCATCGGCTTAATCCTCTGCAATGGGGAAGACTAACGGGATACTTTAGCTTACTTTGGAAAGAGTGGGAAAGACAGAGAACAGAGAGGCATGACTGTGTGAGGCTCCCCATGCGCGGCCCTTGATGGAGTCTAAACCTCACAGCCTGGTGTTTGGAGCCTCACATTGTCCCCCAGCCCACCTTCTCAGGCTGCTCAGGGGTCCTGCATGCTCCGGCCAAACTCCAAGTCCCTACTCTGGCATTTCTGTTGCTTATCTTTAGTGCAGCCTCTTCTTTATGAAATCCCACTCAAGCCTTACCTGAGGTGCCCTCTTTTCTCTGAAGGTCTATGAGATCAGAAACTCGAAACGGCGACTCCCTCCTGGCTCTCCTTTTAAAAGCTACACTACTTGCTGGGCACAGTGGCTCATACCTATAATCCCAGTACCTTGGGAGGCTGAGGTGGGTGGATCACCTGAGGTCAGGAGTTCGAGACCAGCCTGGCCAACATGATGAAATCCCATCTCTACTAAAAATACAAAAATTAGCCAGATGTGATGGCACATGCCTGTAGTCCCAGCTATTTGGGAGGCTGAGGCAGGAAAATCGCTTGAACCCAGGAGGTAGAGATGGCAGTGAGCAGAGATCAAGCCACTATACTCCAGCCTGGGTGACAGAGCAAGACTCAGCATAAAAAAAAAAAAGCCCCTAAAACCCCCAAAATACAACTACACTACTCCTAAAACCTGGCCACACTCAGCCTTCCTTCTTTCGTGTGTCTTCCCTCTTCCGTGTGTCTTCCCTGTTTAACTCCGTGGGCAAGTCTGCCTCACCCCCCACCCTCTCCCGGCAGCACCTGGAGTCAGTCGGGCTCTCAGGGTGTTTGGCTGTCAGTCCGCATCTTTTCTAAAACTCTCCTTTGAAAGTTCATTTGCTGACTCACACCTGTTCACAGCTCAGCAGCTGCTCTTAACTTTCAACCTTTATCTAGATAAATTCACAGCAGCCGACCTCTGGAGCTGAATTATTTTGGGGGCTGTGCTGGTTGCTAGGATGATTTTACCCCAGTGGCGCAATTAAAGCAATTATGCAGACCTGGGTTTTCCAAACCCGACCTAGAATGTCAGCCTGGAGTGAGGGGCTTAGACATTCTCTCACTGACCTCCCTGCCTCCTTTTTTTTTTAGAAAAAGACAGGGTCTAGCTCTGTTACCCATGCTGGAGTGCAGTGGCATGATCAGGATCACTACAGCCTTGACCTCCCAGGCTCAAACGATCCTCCCACCTCAGCCTCCTAAGTAGCTGGAACCACAGGTGTGTGCCACTGCACGTGGCGATTTTTTTATTTTTTATAGAGATAGGATGTCCTCACATTGTACAGGCTGGTCTGGAACTCCTGGGCTCAAGTGATTCTCCTGCCTCTGCCTCCCAAAGTGCTTGGGATTCCAGGCATGAGCCACTGTGTCCAGCACTCTCTCCCAATTTTACAGGTAGAAAAACCAGCCCAGAGAGGGGTCTTGCCTTGCCAAGGGCTCCCTGAGAGTACCATCCATCCCAGGCAGCTTAGATACCTGCAGGATGGGCAGAAGATACCAACCTGGTGCTCAACTTCCAAAAACCAGTGATGAGATGCTCCCTCCTTCCGCGCCCCCATTAGCTCTGCAGTCTGCTGTGGGCAAGGTGAACTCCCATGGATCCCATGGCCCTGGTGGGTCTTTATAGAGCTCCTGTGACTGGGACATTCCCAGCAGCCAAGCATCTGTCCAAAGCTCCTGTCTCAGGCGCCCACCATGAAAGTGAGATGCAGCCCTGGCTTACAGGTGGGGAGTCTTCAGCCCTGGGCCTTCCTGCCCCCAACTCAGGAACCTGCCTCTCTCTCCCCGATCCCAGGCAGGCCTCACCTGGATCCCTGCCAATTCCCCAGGATGGGGAGCAGCACCCCCAACCCCAGATGGGTCCAGGACCCTGCCCACCCCCTCAGAGCCCCCAGAATCTCTCCCACTGGCTTGGAGGTGTCAGTGGCAAGAAAAGGAGGCCAGGCAGGTAAGGAGAGGTCGTGATGCCTCGGGGCTGGCAAGGTGCAGGCCGGTCAGTGCAGGCTAGAGCACTCTGAAGTACGAGGGCTGGGAAAGGGGGTCCTGGAGGTAGAAACCTGACTCTTTGGATGTTTCCTGAAGGGTCTGGGGTGTCTTCTGAGCTCCCGGTCCCTGAAGCTGTCCCATGACCAGCACACTCTGGGTTCCATGAGCAGTTCGATCACTCTCACAGTCTCCATTTTGTTCAACATGAACTCCTGGGAGGAAAAATAAATCTCTCTCACCTGACAGTGTTTTGGCCTCTGGACGCCACTTCCCAGGGACCAAAGCATCATCCAAGGTTGACCTACTTCTCTTTTAACTCTCACAAGAGCCCTGCAAAGGATGTGGCATCAGTGCCACTGGACAAATGAGCAAACTGAGGCTCAGAGAGGTTAAGTGACTTGTCTGATGTGGCACAGCCAGGAGTGACAGAGCTAGATGACTAGGAGTCCAGATCCTGGTGTGACTTCCTGAATGTGGTTGCCTGCCTCTTCTCACTGCCTCCTTCAAGAAGCCCACCCTGACTGTCCCCGGCCTCCATCTCTGAAGGGTATTCATTTCTTAAGGACCAGATGAGCCTCCATCTCCTGTTACCCAGCAGAATGCTGGGGGACTCCATTAGTATTGGCTGAGTGACTGACAGGTGTCAATCCGGAGCCCAGTCCGATCGTTCCTTGGGACCCTGTGATAGCACCGCATAATTCCTTCCTTTTCCTTGGGAAGAAGATGAAATTAATACACTGTGACTATTTAAACAAATGTGTCCTTACTCAGAAATCTCATTTTCTCTTTGCAATATGAGTAAGTTACAAGCTGTATATAACTGGGGATGCCAATTACACAGACTTCAACTGAATGGTGCCCACTGAGTTGTGCCATGCAGCAGCCTCGATGCCGCCCTCCATGGTAGCCCTCCACAAACCTCAATGGGAGGTTCCTGGAGAAGCCCTTCTTAGCTGAGCCACGGGCTTGCTCACTGCCTACTGCTCACTGGACACTGGGGAAGAGACCTGCCCCTCAGTGTTCCTGGGGAGCTAAGAATCCTGTGTTTGGACATCTGCACTGAACCTGCGTCAAATGAGGTAAGCAAGTTCTGATTAGGATGAAGTCAGTGCTAGAGGTGGCAGATGGGAGAGTATGGAAAGGACGGGTCTTTGATGGTGCTGCTGAGCCCAGGATCACACCATGCCTGAAACCCACCCAGGCACCAAACTTCCACCCGTGATACAAGATGTGCCCTGGTAGAGGAGCCAAATGACCTCAGAAAAGAACAAATTTGGAGGACTCACACTTCTCAATTTCAGTATTTACTACAAAGCCATGGTAATCAAGACAGTGTGGTACTGGCATAAAAACAGGCATAGAGATGAATGGAATAGAATCAAGAATCCAGGAATAAACTTCTGTATTATAGTCAGTTGATTTTTGACAAGGGTACTGAGAACATTCAAAAAGGAAAAATAAGACTTTCTAAACAAATGGTATCAGGACAACTAGATAGCCTCATGCAAAATAATGAAATCAGACCCCTACCTTACATCATATTCAAAAATTAACTAAAAATCAATAACAGACCAGTAGAGCAAAACCCATAAACTTCTCACAAGAAGACATAGGTATAAATCTTCATGACCTTGGATTAGGCAATGGCTTTTTAGACATGACACCTAAAGGACAAGTACATACACATACACAAAGTAAAACTATTGGATTCTTGGCCAGGCGCAGTGGCTCACACCTGGAATCCTAGCACTTTGGAGGCCGAGGTGGGTGGATCACCTGAGGTCAGGAGTTCGAGACCAGCCTGACCAACATGGTGAAACCCTGTCTCTACCAAAAAATTCAAAGATTAGCCAGGTGTGGTGGTGCGTGCCTGCAGTCCCAGCTACCGGGGAGGCTGTGAGGAGAATCGCTCAAACCCAGGAGGCGGAAGTTGCAGTGAGCTGAGCTGAGATGGCACCACTGCACTCCAGCCTGGCAACAGAGTGAGGCCCTGTCTTAAGCAAACCAACAAAGAAATTGGATTTCATCAAAATTCAAAACTTCTGTGCTGCAAAGGACACCATCAAGGAGTAAAACATGCAAGACAGGAGAAAATCTTTGCAATTATGTACTGACTAAGGGACCTGTATCCAGAATGCAAAAAGAATTCTTACAACTCAATTAATAAAAGACAAATAGGCTGGGCGTGGTGGCTCACGCCTGTAATCTCAGCACTTTGGAAGGCCTAGCCGGGCAGATCACCTGAGGTCAGGAGTTCGAGACCAGCCTGGCCAACATGGTAAAACCCTGTTTCTAATAAAAATACAAAAATTAGCCGGGTGTGGCGGTGCATGCCTACAGTCCCAGCTACTCAGGAGGCTGAGGCAGGAGAATCGCTTGAACCCAAGAGGTGGAGGTGCCACTGCACCCTAGTCTGGGCGACAAAGTGAGATTCTGTCTCATACACACACACAAAAGACAAATAACAGAATGTTTTAAATGGGCAAAGTATTTGAATAGACATTTCTCCAAAGGAGAGATACACATGGCCAATAAGCACATGAAAAGATTCTCAAAATCTTTAGTCATCAGAGAAATGCAGATCTAAACCACAATGAGATGGCACTTCACACCCATTAGGAGGGCTAAATTAGAAAAGATTGACAACAGGAAATGTTGGCAAGGATTCGGAGACACTGCAACCCTCATACACTGATCATGGGGGTGATAAAATGGTGCAGCCACTTTGGAAGAGTTTGACGTTTCCTCGAATGTTACACATAGAGTTAACAGATGACCCAGAATTGCACTCCTGGGTGTGTACCAAAGAGAACTGAAAGCATATCTCTGCATAAAACTTTGTACACAAATGTTCGTAGCAGCAATATTTATAATACCTAAAAATTGGAAACCATCCAGATGCCTGTCAACTGATGAATGGATAAACAGAAGGTCTATCCGTACAAATATGCCCATACCGTGGAATATTCAGCCGTAAGAAACACTGATTCGTGCTATGACATGGATGAACCTTGAAAGAATTAGGCTCGATGAAAGCAGCCAGACGCAAAATATCTTTTTGGGGGTGATGAAACGTTCTGGAATTAGAGAGGGGTAATTGCTGCGTGATTCTGACTATGCTGAAAACACTGAAGTCATCGTTTTAAGGAGCAAATTTGATGGCGTGTGAATTCTATCTCAATAAAGTTATTATTTTAAAAAGACAGGCTCTGTTGTCAAAGCCAGTCTGATCACATTCTCTGTGACTGCAGTAACAGCATCCTGACTGTTGGGGGCGATGAGGAGAGATGCTCAGTAGACTTGCAGTGTGAAGTTTAAGGTGAGGACTCTGTGTAAGAGGCTCCTTCAGTTACTGAAATGCCTGCTGCCAGCGTGCTTATATGCGTTAAGTGTGTCATCATACTTGTATGCATCCTCTTGCATGCCAGTTGATGCTTATGTGCTTGTTTGCAGGTGTGTCTGTGTATGTCTCATGTGTGTCATTGGTGTGCAAAAAGCACGCGTGGATGTTGATGAGTGTACTCTGTGTGTGTGTGTGTGTGTGAGATGTGTCAGAGTGGAGCTACACACAAAGACCAGGTGGGGCCAGGCGTGGTGGCTCACGCCTGTAATCCCAACACTTTTGGAGGCCGAGGTGGGAAGATCACAAGGTCAGGATCAAGACCATCCTGACCAGCATAGTGAAACCCCATCTCTACTAAAAAAAAAAAAAAAAAAAAAAATACAAAAAAAATTAGCCAGGCTTGCGCCTGTAGTCCCAGCTAATCGGGAGGCTGAGGCAGGAGACTTGCTTGAACCTGGGAGGGAGGGACTGCAGTGAGCCAAGAACACGCCACTGCACTCCAGCCTGGGTGACAGAGTGAGACTCCATCTCAAAAAAAAAAAAAAAGACCGGGGGGAAGTTCCTCTATGCACCCTCTACACTGGCCCTTCACCTAGTGGGTGCTCAAGTTTGTTGAGAGACTAATAGAGATCTTAGGACCTTGCTGCACCAGGCACCTACGTAGTTATGGAAAGGCTGATGGGAGGCTAAACACAAATGCAGCTTGAGCTAAGGAGCAGGACTGGCTCAAGTTGCAGGTCTGCCTGGGGCAGTCAGGAGCCTCGAGGCCAACCGTCTATCCTTACCTTAATCAGATCGAGCTTCGAGAAGAGACTCATGCTCTTGGGCACGCCGTGGGCAGAAGGGCAGCACTGCTGGGCCATGTTGTTGATGGTCATTTGCGTGTGGCTGAGCAGCTGATCCTGCAGGAAAGAGGAAGAGGAGGTGGCGGCTCAGGCTCTCTCCCAGCATCCCCCGCCCCTGCCCCTGGCTCACTCCAGCCAGCAAAGTGTCCTGGACAGAGCTGGACACTGGGAGCGTCCTTCTCATCCTGGCCTGTATTCCTCTCCTGGGGGCCTTGGTTGACTTCCTCCCCACCTCGGAGCCTGAGTGTCCTCCCCTGTAAAGAGGGAGGTTGGACTAACTCCTTTCATAAGGGCCTCCTGGCTGGAGCCATCTGGGGTCCATGCCTGGTTAGAAGTAGAGGACTGGGAAAGGGCATGGAGTGGGGCCCCGGGCTTCCAACCTCCAGCGTCCTTGTCTGCTACAGCAGCTTAGAGAGAAAGACCTAGAAGGGCCTCTGTAGACTGTGACCCACCCAGCTCCCTAAGCCCCTTGGCTTGGCTGGAGGTCAGCCAAGCTGACAGCCCCCAGCCCTCTGTCTTCCAAACTCAAATCCCTCGAGGCCCATCAGTCTGGGCCTGAGCAGGTCTCACACCCACCCCATGACCTCATATCCTGTGCAGGGAGGGTGTGCCCAGCACAGCCCCGTGCCCCAGCCACGGTTCCTAGTGTCCTCCCGCAGTCCCTGAGGCCAGAAGAACACAGACCGCTGCCTCCATTTATGGTCCAGGGGGGACCACACGCCCACACACTCCTAAGGCCAGTAAGGGGCAGTGCGGGAGCCGAATTCCCGAATTCCTGGAATTCGTGGCCACGGACTTTGGCCATGACTTGTTCCTTCTGAGCCTCATTTTTCTCATTTTTAAAATAAATGTGGGTAAAGTTCACCAGTGTTTAGGAGCACCCACTCCAGGTCAAGCTCTGTGCTAAGCACTGCCTGGAATGATCGGAGAGACACCAGGTTACTGAAGACAGTGCATAATAACCACTCACTTAAACGCTGCTGTTTTATTATTAACCACAAACATTATACAAGGCCCAGGTGCTCAACACAACACCAAGCTCTGGGACTGGGCCGGTGGATCCCGGCTCTCAGTAGAGCTCGGTCCGAAATATCTGTGGCCTCAGTTTTCCCACCTGTAAAGCGACATCTGACCCCTCCAAGAGAGGCCCCTCAAAAGCAAGCTGTCACCAAGGAGAAGTAAGTGCTATGGGTCTCTCTGTGTGTGTCTCTGTGTCTCTATGTGTGTCTCTGTGTGTGCCTGTGTGTGTGTGTCTGTGTGTCTGTGTATGTGTTTGCATGCCTGTGTCTGTGTGTCTATGTGTCTGGCTGTGTCTGTGTTTGCGTGTGTGTCTGGCTGTGTCTGTCTCTGTGTATTTGTGTGTATTTTTGTCTGACCATGTCTGTCTGTCTTTATGTTTGGTTCTGTCTGTGTATCTATGTGTCTGGTTGTGTCTGTGTGTGTCTATGTATCTGTTTATCTATGTGTTTGGCTGTGTATGTGTGTGTGTGTGTGTGTCTGTGTGTGTGTGTGTCTGTGTGTATATGTGTCTGTGTGTGTGTGTTTGCATATATCTGTGTGTCTGGCTCTGTGTGTGTGTGTCTGTGTGTATACGTGTCTGTGTGTGTGTGTTTGCATATATCTGTGTGTCTGGCTCTGTGTGTGTGTGTCTGTGTGTATACGTATCTGTGTGTGTGTGTTTGCATATATCTGTGTGTCTGGTTGTGTATCTGTGTGTATATGTGTCTGTGTGTGTGTGTTTGCATATATCTGTGTGTCTGGCTCTGTGTGTGTGTGTCTGTGTGTATACGTATCTGTGTGTGTGTTTGCATATATCTGTGTGTCTGGCTCTGTGTGTGTGTGTCTGTGTGTATACGTATCTGTGTGTGTGTGTTTGCATATATCTGTGTGTCTGGTTGTGTGTCTGTGTGTATATGTGTCTGTGTGTGTGTGTTTGCATATATCTGTGTGTCTGGCTCTGTGTGTGTGTGTCTGTGTGTATACGTATCTGTGTGTGTGTGTTTGCATATATCTGTGTGTCTGGCTCTGTGTGTGTGTGTCTGTGTGTATACGTGTCTGTGTGTGTGTGTTTGCATATATCTGTGTGTCTGGCTCTGTGTGTGTGTGTCTGTGTGTATACGTATCCGTGTGTGTGTGTTTGCATATATCTGTGTGTCTGGCTCTGTGTGTGTGTGTCTGTGTGTATACGTATCTGTGTGTGTGTGTTTGCATATATCTGTGTGTCTGGCTCTGTGTGTGTGTGTCTGTGTGTATACGTGTCTGTGTGTGTGTGTTTGCATATATCTGTGTGTCTGGCTCTGTGTGTGTGTGTCTGTGTGTATACGTATCTGTGTGTGTGTGTTTGCATATATCTGTGTGTCTGGCTGTGTGTCTGTGTGTATATGTGTCTGTGTGTGTGTGTTTGCATATATCTGTGTGTCTGGCTCTGTGTGTGTGTGTCTGTGTGTATACGTATCTGTGTGTGTGTGTTTGCATATATCTGTGTGTCTGGCTCTGTGTGTGTGTGTCTGTGTGTATACGTGTCTGTGTGTGTGTGTTTGCATATATCTGTGTGTCTGGCTCTGTGTGTGTGTTTGTGTGTATACGTATCTGTGTGTGTGTGTTTGCATATATCTGTGTGTCTGGCTGTGTGTCTGTGTGTATATGTGTCTGTGTGTGTGTGTTTGCATATATCTGTGTGTCTGGCTCTGTGTGTGTGTGTCTGTGTGTATATGTATCTGTGTGTATGTGTTTGCATATATCTGTGTGTCTGGCTGTGTGTCTGTGTATATATGTGTCTGTGCGTGTGTGTTTGCATATATCTGTGTGTCTGGCTCTGTGTGTGTGTGTCTGTGTGTATATGTGTCTGTGTGAGTTGGGAGTAATAATGACCACTGACTTACATGCCATTGTTTTTATATGGCGTTTAAGTGAGTGGTTATTATCACTCCCAACACACACAGATGGAGGCTATCAGCCTCCCCTACTCTGCCTCTAGCCCCACCCCCAGGGCTGAAAGACTGAACTCACATTATAGCTGCTACTGGTGTGTGTGTGTGTGTCAAAGTCAGTGTCTTTCTGGTAGGTGACACCACGCTTCAGCTGCCACCACTGCTCCTGCTTGCGGTGACACTTCTTCTGCAGCTGACACAGCGGGATCTTGAGGCTCTGGGACAGAGAGAATGGATCATTTTGGCACAACAAACCCTCCAGGGCATGCGTCCAGGTCCGAGTCCCTGGGGTGGTCTGTGCAATGACAGGATAGGAAGAAGGAATACTTCTGGGTGGCTGGGGCCATTCAAGGCACAAGAGATGCAGAAAAGGGCATGTCCAGGCTGCTGGAGTTTACCTGAGCCCTAGTTCCTGATGGTTTGATAAAGGAAGTTCCACTACACAAGCTCTCTTGCCTGCCACTGTGTAAGATGTGCCTCTGCTCCTCCTTCACCTTCCACCATGATTGTGCAGCCACCCCAGCCATGTGGAACTGTCAGTCCATTAAACCTCTTTTTCTTTATTTTTTATTTTATTTTTATTTTTTGGAGACAGAGTCTCACTCTTTTTGCCCAGGCTGGAGTGCAGTGGCATGATCTTGGCTCACTGAGACCTCTGCCTCCCAGGTTCAAGTGATTCTCCTGCCTTAACCTCCCAATTAGCTGGGATTATAGGCATGCACCACCAGGCCTGGCTAATTTTTGTATTTTTAGTAGAGACAGGGTTTCACCATGTTGGCCAGGCTGGTCTTAAACTCCTGACCTCAAGTGATCTGCCTGCCGCAGCCTCCCAAAGTACTGAGATTACAGGTGTGAGCCACCATGCCCAGCCCTCTTTTTCTTTATAAATTGGCAAGTCTGAGGTATTTCTTTATTAGCAGCATGAGAAGGAACTAATACATTCCCCTAGCCGGGCCCTGTGGGATAGGAATTTGAAAGATACAGAACAGGCCAAGTGTGGTCGTGCACACCTGTAATCAATCCCAGCTGCTCTGGAAGCAGAGGCAGGAGAATCGCTTGAGGCTGGAAGGTGGAAGCTACAGTGAGCTGAGATCATGCCACTGCACTCCAGCTTGGGTGACAGAGTGAAACCCTGTCTCAAAAAAAAAGAAAGAAAAAGAAAAGAAAACAGGACATACCCGGTGGTATGTGGCCCTGCTTCTCTGAGGCTTACTTTCCTCCCCTTGAAAATGGGAGGAATAGCATGGCTGGACTTGCCTTTCCCTAGTCCCAGCCCTGGGAATAGCAGCATCTACCTGGAGGTGCTGGTGTGAGATTTAAGTGAGAAAAAGCACATGAAGTGCTTCCTGCAGTGCCCAGCCCATGAATGAATCCCATTCTCCAAAAAAAAAACAGTACAAAGTGGTGCAGGCTTGCAGCGCTGCCACTAGGGGGCAGGTGCTCTCTCTCCAAACACCAAGCAGCAGCCCTTTGCAGTGCACCAACCAGCAGGTCATCCTTCCTCTGGGATCCCCAAGTCCCCGGTCCCAGTGGCAGCAGGAATCTTCATGATGTCACACCTTCGTCAGAGCAGGCTGTTCCACCTGGTGTGCCCACTCCTCCCAGCGGAAGTCCTATTTATGATGAGCTCACCACGAAGGAAGGGGGGGGAAATGATGTATCTGGCACTGACTTTGACGCGGTTTGTGTGTGGTGCCTTGCAAGGACCCTAGAAGCTAGGGTGTGTTGCTTCCATTTGACAGATGCAGAAACTGAGGCTTAGAGAGGGTACAAACTAGTCACACAGCTAGCTGGTGGCTGAGCTGGGCGCTGAACCCGAATCCGTCTGCATTCAGGACACATGGCTTTTCCACCAGGCAGAACAACTTTTAGGCACAAGCTGAGCCTCAGGCAGCAGAGGGGAGAGGAAGGGGATACGGAAGGTGGCTCAGGAGCCACACCCTACCCAGGGCCCCTCAGCATTGTGCCATTGCTCCCTCCAGGCCTTCCCCAGGGGTGCTCAAGAAAGGGGGCCCCACGCTCCCAGCTCCCTGGGCCACGGGGAATGGAACAGCAGCTGTTACCGGCATGAGAGCCCTGTGGTTCTCTCTAGCGACTCCAGGTTCCGGTGGACGGCCTGGCTCATCTGGGAGAAGGCGTCGAGGCGCATCTGCATGTCTTGGCTGGCTGCGAAGAGCTTTCTGTAGTGCTTCACCATGGCCTCCACCAGCCCCAACTCCAGCTCCTCCCATCCGGTGCAGCCTGCAGAGACAGCGCCATGGGGATGGGTGGGTGCCCCTGCACTGCCATGCCAACAAGCCGGCCAGGAATTCTGGCTGGGGCTGCCAAGTTGAGAGGTGCCGGACGGTCCATGCCAGGCTGACCACAAGACAGTAGGACGGTCCCGAAACTCTCCAGGCTTGCCATCCACCCTGCTACCGCCTCCCTGCCACCACCACTTCAAGGGACTCCTCAACCTTGGAAAGTTCAGCCAGAGACTGAGACATGGACTCCGGACCGAGACCACCCACGAGGCCTCGAGTCGTTGCTGCTTGGGGGAGCCTGAGAAGTGGACACGAATTGTTCCTGTCCCTCGAGAGCAAGTGCCAAGTCCCGGTGGTTCTGCATTTTGGATGGGTTGAACAGGGCGGAACTGCTGAATTAGGAAGGTCCCAAACCACAAGCCTCACTGGGTGCTGGGGCTGCCACAAGTCCACGCTTCCCCATGAGAGGTCACTGCCTCCATGAAGCCTTCCCTGACCTCCAGGGCAGAGTTTTTGGAGTTTCTGTAGCTCCTCTCATTCTAGCACTTACTTAGTACAGTGGCTATGAAGTCAGACAGACCAGAGACGAGCCCAGCGCCACCACGTCCTGACTGGGTAACCTGGGCAAGTTCCTTACCCTCTCTGAGCCTGAGTAACACAGACCTGCAAAGCTCATAGGAGGGGTAAAAAAGATGTACTAAAAAGCTTAGCATAGCGCATGTGTTTAGTAAGTGGTAATAATTATTTGATTATTATTGATGGTGTTGAAATAATAATGATAACAATAAATATGTATGACTCCCCTTCCCTCTTCTCTTTTTCGAGAGAGAGTTTCGCTGTTGTTGCCCAGGCTGGAGTGCAATGGCACAATCTTGGCTCACAACTCACCACAACCTCCGCCTCCCGGGTTCAAGCAATTTTCCTGCCTTAACCTCCTGAGTAGCTGGGATTACAGGCACACGCCACCACGCCTGGCTAATTTTGTATTTTAAGTAGAGGTGGGGTTTCTCTGTGTTGTTCAGGCTGATCCTGAACTCCTGACCTCAAGTGATCTGCCCACCTCGGCCTCCCAAAGTGCTGGGATTACAGGTGTGAGCCACTGTGCCCGGCCTCCCCTTCCCTTTTTTAAGAGTTTCCAGTACTCATAAAACAACACACAAAAACTCATCTCAGATGTCCTTATACTCTTAGTTAATACCAGTTACAGCGAAACAAAAACACAAACTAAAGATAAGCAAAACAATAATAATAATAATGGCCAGGGTTGACCAGGTACTAGCTAAATGCTGGGCCCTGTGCTATGCTTGTAAAGGATGACCTCCTCTAGTCCACATACGATTGCTGTTCCCATTGTACAGATAAGAAAGTCAAGGCCTGGAGAACTTGCCAGAGGCCACACTGTCAGTGACAGTGGAGCCGGGGTTGGAACCAAGCAGTGTGACTCGGCTGCCTGTGCCCTTCTTCCCCACTGTGGGGTTGACCTTTGTGCATTCCCATGAGCAGCTCAGGGCTCCATGAGGCCACACGCCGGCCACATGCCGCATCGCAGTCCTGCAGCCAGGAGGCAGCTGTGGAGGGAAGGGGCTTTCCGAGGAAGCTGTGTACCCACCCTCGGGGATTTTCTCAAGGACCTTAATCAGGTAGTCTTCAAAAAGCTTGTGCTTCTCGACCTCTCTCTTGAGCTTCTTCTGCCTGTACAGCCAGATGCACGAACATGGGCTGGAGGCTCCCAGGTATCACAGGACCCCCACGAATGAAACTGGACACTCCCTGTGATCTCCTGTTTGAACCTGCACTGGGCTGGCCACATATCATGTTATCAGCTGGCCATGGACTTAGGAGTCTCTCCACTTTCATTTCACTGCTGAGCAAACTGAGCTATAAACAGTTCAAATAAATGCCCGTGGCAGCATCTCCCTGGCAGCAAAGAAGGCGCCGGGGGAGAATAAAGGCCAAGTCTTTCTGGCCAGAGTCTACGGTGCCTACCCTGGAGGCTGTGCAGGTGCCTCCCATCTCGTGAGATAGGCCAGCCCTTCCTAGCTGGTGACGTGGGGGCCAGGTGCTTCACCTCTCTGTGCCTGGGGTGCCATCTACAGCAGGGGTGAAGTGAGCTGCTGGCCAGGGTCATGTGTGGGGCGCCCAGTGCCTTGGGAGCACTCTGTCAGAGGCAAGGCCCACACCAACCCCCGGAGGGGAGACGGCCATGTGCCTTCTATACATGGCCATGCCTGGCCATGACTCTTTGAGGAATCCCTAAGCAAGTCCCCAGCAGGTCACCTGCTCTGGACCCAGAGGTCAGCAGTTAAGGGCAGAGACCAGAGTGGGCTTGGCCTGGCCAGCTGGCCGAGCTCCCGACCCATTTTCTGATCGTGCAGCAGGGGCTGTGCCAGGGGTCTCTGAGTGGCCCAGGGGAAGCCACTCTGCCTCCCTGGCCTCCCCTGGTCATCCCTATAGTTCTGAAAAGTGCAGGACAATATCATCCCCTTCCCACAGAAACCACGTGGCACCTGTGAGCCATGATGGCGCTAAACCCAATTGGGATCAGGAAGCTCTTCAAATCTGTTGGAAGAGTTGGCCCTTTTCTTCATAAAACTTTGCACAGACACATCCTTTTGCAACTAATTCAGGTTTCTGTGTGCAGCCTGAAATGTCATCTCTCCTACCTCCCATCCCCGTGGGATGAGGACCCAGGGTCCCCTCTGAGAGTCAAGGCGGCAACCTCATAGACTGACTTAGAGGGGCCGAGTTGACAGGTGCAGCCAATGGTCACCCAGTCCTCCTTCCTGATGTAGAGGCTCAGCCTGCAGAGGGCACAGGTCTGGCCCAAGATCTGAGGCTAAAGGGCAGCAGCCACACCTCTCTCTCCCACCATAGCTGTGGCCATTTGCCTCCTGCCTGCCCATTTGCTTCCAGGCCATACTTCCCTCCTCATCCACCCCTGTCCTGGCCTCCTCTGGGAATGTTTGCTCAGTCTAGCCACTTAGCCCACTGGGGAGGCACTGGGGCTGGGACTGGGGCTGGGACAACACGTACTTAGCCTGGAGCTGGTGGAGTTCCTGCCACAGCTCTTGAAGGTCCCCTTCTCTGTCACCAGGATTGTTTGGGCCAGCTCTCTGGCCTGTGTCCGTGACCACCCCAAGCCATGTAGAAGGGCAGGAGCCACGTGAGCCAGGCAGGAGGAAGACAGACTGAAATGGGACAGTCACAGCCACAACTTCCTCTTTGGATCCTTGGAGGCTGGGGCTCACACCCCTACCTCACAGAAAAGGAAACAGAGGCTCAGAGAGGGGCTGTGACCAGCTGGAGGTCAGCTGGCAGAACTGGATTAAGTCCACAGCCCAAGGTCTTTGGGCTGCATCCCCAGCTCTGGAGATGTTAAAGGTGCCATTCTGCAGGGGCCTTGTTTTCCTTTCAGCCCGATAACTGGTACAGCCCCATCACCCCCTAGTCTTCAGTTCCTGGCCACCTGGATGCCTGGGAACTTTCAGCAAGTGCTGGCTTCCAACAAATTCTGGAAGGAGTCATAGGGTCAGAGCCAGAGCTGGTTCAGAAAGCAGCCTGCTTAGGGAGGAGGCAGCTTCATCATCATCTCTGCCCACCCACCCCCCATCCATGCATTTATTCACTAACCAACATCACACGCTCTGAGCTCATACAGTGCTTACAGAGCTACAGTGGAGACTGAGCAGAGACGCTTTGAACAAAGCTCATGATCAAGCTAGGAAGATGGTCTAGTTGCAAGTAGCTTCAACACAGCCTTGCAAACAGCTCCTGGGCCACTCGTCCAAGGCTGGCCTGCAAGCATAACTCTCATTGGTCAACTGCTGAGCCAGCCCAGTGCGTTGGGGAGGGAAGGTGAGGGGCTACAAGGTCAGCCTTTCTAACCCCAAGCATCAAATGTGGGTAGACAGGCACTGGGGGAGGAAGGGGCGTAGCTGACTCACACTCACCTCCAGGAGCACAAAGCCACAGCCAGGCTGTGACATCACAATGCTGGCTTCTGTCCTCATCATGTGTCCATTGCAGGACCCACCTGTGGGTGGAGGGCCAGATTCTCCATGATCCTAAACCCTCCCACCCCCACCTCCCAGTTCCATTCCCAAGAAGAAGGGGAGAAAGGGCATTGGCAACCCCCGGAAGACCTGGGCTCTTTTTGTCCTTCTAGCAAGGCTGGTCTGCTTTATGGGCTGCCCAGATCCCATTGGCCTGTCCCGGGACTCTCCCTTGATCCCATCCCCCACCTGATTTTGGTGGCTGGAGCTCAGGCATTTCCCCTTCGGCCTCCAAAGGCTCAGGCCCACCTATGGCTCAGGACTAGTCCTGGCTCAGTGCAAGGGGTGGGAACAAGCTGAAGGACCCATGTCTGGGAACCGCCCCTGCCTACGCCTTGGCCCTGAACTTCCTGTTGGAGCTACTGGACCTGTGCCACCAGGAAGGTGGGGTGGGGAGGGCTGGGCCTCATGCCCACCCTACCACCGCACCCCCACCCCCACCCCCACCACACGCACCAGCCTGCTGGCTGGCCTGGCCTTCCCCCTGGAAGGCTTCCAGTGGCTTAGGGCTTGGCCACCTGAGATGGCTCCTGGGAAGCCACAGCTGAGTGTGGGCTCCACTGGGAGGAACCCTGCTAGAGCGGAAGGTCCCCAGCGAGGGTGAAGGAGGCAGGAGCCAAGAAAGGGCCTGAGCTGGGGCTGGGGCCGAGAATGAGGGAGAGGCTGGGGCCTACTGGGGGGCAGAGCAAGGGCTGGGGGTTCAGGTCTATGGCTGGAGTGAGAGCAAAGCTGGGGCAAGATCTGGATCAAAGCCTAGAGCTGGGGCAGGGTCGGGGCTGGGCTGGGGCTAGGGTCGGGGCTCGGCTGGGGCTAGGGTCGGGGCTCAGCTGGGGCAGGGTCGGGGCTGGGCTGGGGCTTGGGTCGGGGCTCGGCTGGGGCAGGGTCGGGACTGGGCTGGGAGCAGGGTCGGGGCTGGGCTGGGGCTTGGGGTGGGGCAGGGTTGGGCAGGGTTGGGCTGGGGCAGGGGCTGGGCTGGGGCAGGGTCGGGGCTGGGGCAGGGGCGGGACTGGGCTGGGCTGGAGCAGGGTCGGGGCTGGGCTGGAGGTAGGGTCGGGGCTGGGCTGGGGCAGGGTCGGGGCAGGGCTGGGGCTTGGGGTGGGGCAGGGTCGGGGCTGGGCTGGGGCTTGGGGTGGGGCAGGGTTGGGGCAGGGCTGGGCTGGGGCTGGGTGGGGACTGGGCTGGGGGCAGGGTCAGGGCTGGGCTGGTGCAGGGTGGGGGCTGGGCTGGGGCTTGGGGTAGGGCAGGGTTGGGGCAGGGCTGGGCTGGGGCTTGGGCTGGGGCAGGGTCGGGGCTGGGCTGGGGGTAGGGTCGGGGCTGGGCTGGGGCTGGGGTGGGGCAGGGTCGGGGCAGGGCTGGGCTGGGGCAGGGTCGGGGCTGGGCTGGGGGGCAGGGTCTGGGCTGGGCTGGGGGGCAGGGTCTGGGCTGGGCTGGGGCAGGATCGTGGCTGGGCTGGGGGCAGGGTCCGGGCTGGGCTGGGGCAGGATCGTGGCTGGGCTGGGGGCAGGGTCCGGGCTGGGCTGGGGCTTGGGGTGGGGCATGGTTGGGGCGGGGCTGGGCTGGGGCAGGGTGGGGACTGGGCTGGGGGCAGGGTCGGGGCTGGGTGGGGCTGGGCTGGAGCAGGGTCGGGGCTGGGCTGGGACGGGGCTGGGCTGGGGCAGGGTCGGGGCTGGGCTGGGGGCAGGGTCGGGGCTGGGCTGGGGCAGGGTCAGGCTGGGCTGGGGCTTGGGGTGGGGCTTGGCTGGGGCGGGGCTGGGGTGGGGCAGGGTTGGGGAGGGGCTGGGCTGGGGCAGGGTTGGGGCGGGGCTGGGCTGGGTCTTGGGGTGGGGCTGGGCTGGGGCTTGGGTCGGGGCTTGGCTGTGGCTTGGGGTGGGGCATGGTTGGGGCGGGGCTGGGCTGGGGGCAGGGTCGGGGCTAGGCTGTGGCTTGGGGTGGGGCATGGTTGGGGCGGGGCTGGGCTGGGGCAGGGTGGGGACTGGGCTGGGGGCAGGGTCGGCGCTGGGCTGGGGCTTGGGGTGGGGCAGGGTTGGGGCAAGGCTGGGCTGGGGCAGGGTTGGGGCTGGGCTGGGGGCAGGGTCGGGGCTGGGCTGGGTCTTGGGTCGGGGCTGGACTGGGGCAGGGTCAGGGCTGGGCTGGGGCATGGTCGAGGCTGGGCTGGGCGCAGGGTCGGGGCTGGGCTGGGGCAGTGTCGGGTTGGGCTGGGGGCAGGGTCAGGGCTGGTCTGGGGCTTGGGGTGGGGCAGGGCTGGGGCGGGGCTGGGCTGGGGGCAGGGTCGGGGCTGGGCTGGGGGCAGGGTCGGGGCTGGGCTGGGGCTTGGGGTGGGGCAGGGTGGGGGCGGGGCTGGGCTGGGGGCAGGGTCGGGGCTGGGCTGGGGGCAGGGTCGGCGCTGGGCTGGGGCTTGGGGTGGGGCAGGGTTGGGGCAAGGCTGGGCTGGGGCAGGGTCTGGGCTGGGCTGGGGCTTGGGGTGGGGCAGGGTTGGGGCGGGGCTGGGCTGGAGCTGGGTCGCGGCTGGGCTCGGGGTAGGGTCGGGGCTGGACTGGGGCAGGGTCGGGGCTGGGCTGGGGCATGGTCGAGGCTGGGCTAGGCGCAGGGTCGGGGCTGGGCTGGGGCAGTGTCGGGTTGGGCTGGGGGCAGGGTCAGGGCTGGTCTGGGGCTTGGGGTGGGGCAGGGATGGGGCGGGGCTGGGCTGGGGGCAGGGTCGGGGCTGGGCTGGGGCTTGGGGTGGGGCAGGGTGGGGGCGGGGCTGGCCTGGGGGCAGGGTCGGGGCTGGGCTGGGGCTTGGGGTGGGGCAGGGTTGGGGCAAGGCTGGGCTGGGGCAGGGTCGGGGCTGGGCTGGGGCAGGGTCGAGGCTGGGCTGGGGCAGTGTCGGGTTGGGCTGGGGGCAGGGTCGGGGCTGGGCTGGGGCTTGGGGTGGGGCAGGGTTGGGGCGGGGCTGGGCTGGAGCTGGGTCACGGCTGGGCTCGGGGTAGGGTCGGGGCTGGGCTGGGGCAGGGTCGGGGCTGGGCTGGGGCTTGGCGTGGGGCTTGGCTGGGGCGGGGCTGGGGTGGGGCAGGGTTGGGGCGGGGCTGGGCTGGGGCTTGGGGTGGGGCTTGGCTGGGGCGGGGCTGGGGTGGGGCAGGGTTGGGGCGGGGCTGGGCTGGGGCTTGGGGTGGGGCTTGGCTGGGGCGGGGCTGGGGTGGGGCAGGGTTGGGGAGGGGCTGGGCTGGGGCTTGGGGTGGGGCTTGGCTCGGGGCAGGGTCGGGGCTGGGCTGGGGGCAGGGTCGTGGCTGGGCTGGGGGCAGGGTCCGGGCTGGGCTGGGGCAGGGTCCGGGCTGGGCTGGGGCAGGGTCGTGGCTTGACTGGGGGCAGGGTCGGGGCTGGGCTGGGGGCAGGGTCTGGCTGGGCTGGGGCAGGGTCGTGGCTTGGCTGGGGGCAGGGTCCGGGCTGGGCTGGGGGCAGGGTCCGGGCTGGGCTGGGGCAGGGTCGTGGCTGGACTGGGGGCAGGGTCGGGGCTGGGCTGGGGGAAGGGTCCGGGCTGGGCTGGGGGCTGGGTCCGGGCTGTGCTGGGGGCAGGGTCGGGGCTGTGCTGGGGCAGGGTCGGGGCTGGACTGGGGGCAAGGTCGGGGCTGGGCTGCGGGCAGGGTCGGAGCTGGGCTGGGGCTTGGGGTGGGGCTGGGTTGGGGCGGGGCTGGGCTGGGGCAGGGTCGGGGCTGGGCTGGGGGCAGGGTCGGAGCTGGGCTGGGGCTTGGGGTGGGGCAGGTTGGGGCGGGGCTGGGCTGGGGCAGGGTCGGGGCTGGGCTGGGGGCAGGGTCGGGGCTGGGCTGGGGCTTGGGGTGGGGCATGGTTGGGGCGGGGCTGGGCTGGGGGCAGGGTCGGCGCTGGGCTGGGGCTTGGGGTGGGGCAGGGTTGGGGCAAGGCTGGGCTGGGGCAGGGTCGGGGCTGGGCTGGGGGGCAGGGTCGGGGCTGGGCTGGGGCTTGGGTCGGGGCTGGGCTGGGGCAGGGTCGGGGCTGGGCTGGGGGCAGGGTCGGGGCTGGTCTGGGGCTTGGGCTGGGGGCAGGGTCGGGGCTGGGCTGGGGCTTGGGGTGGGGCAGGGTTGGGGCGGGGCTGGGCTGGGGCAGGGTCCGGGCTGGGCTGGGGCAGGGTCCGGGCCGGGGTTGGGCTGGGGCAGGGTCAGGGCTGGGCTGGGGCTTGGGTCTGGGCTAGGAGAAGGAGCAGGGGTTTGAGCTCACCCCACTCTTGACCCCTCACCAGAAGGCAGTGGGATCAGCCTCTGGCAGCCCAGGAGTCCCTGACTGATGCCCAGGGCTGCCTCTCCATGGTCCTAGAGCCCTGGCTTGTGTGCTGAGCACCGACTGAGAATGAAGATGCAGGGTCCTGCCTTGGGCCTCAGACACAGGAGGGAGGTGGATGCAGGTATGGGGGGTGTGGGGGGTGTGGACACAGAGGGAGAGGAGCTCAGGGGCTAGGGTTGCCCAGAGAAGGGGTCAGCCTGGTCTGAAGAGAGGTGGGGGAGTCCCCCAGAGTTGGCAGTGTCGGAAGTGTTTCATGAGGGTAAGAGTGAGAGGAGAAGGTGGGAAGGGCATTCTGGCAGAAGGAACAGAAGGAGCAGAAGGGGTAAAGGTTCGGAGGTGCCGAATAGCTTGCACAGCCTGTGTGAAGCCTTCAAAGCAGAAGGGGGCAATCAGAGTGGTTTGGACCATGGCTGGTGAAGCTGCTGGCGGGAGCCAAAGGGTATCAGTCAGCAGCAGAGGCTGCCCGGGCTAGTCTGGGCAGGGGGGGATGCATGGGAGGCTGGAGGGAGGCATGGAAACAAGAAAAGCTGAAAATCCAGGCTCAGAGAGGACAGGGGCCCAGGGCAGCCCTGGAGATTCACGGGCAGGAATCAGGGAGGCGCCCCCAGAACGAATCCCCCCCAACCCGTTTTCATTGTCCTCTCCATTCTCAAGAATCAGAGTGGGCGCCCAATTGGCTGAGCCTGGGCCATGTGCCCACCCCTTGGCTTGACTGACAGTCGTGTGCTAAGAGCCTGCAGTGGGGCCCGGAAGTTTCCGGGGAATCAGGGGAAGTTTCCTGGGGCTGTTTCCGGGGAATCAGGATAGCTGAGCAACAGAACCCACAGGTGCTCCTCCGCAGAGGCTCAGGGACAACTGGCTGAGGAGACTCAGGGACAACTGGGCTGCACCCCCAGCTCTGGAGAGGTTGAGGGTGCCATTCTCTAGGGGCCTTGTTTTCCTCGCAGCCCCATAACTGGTACAACCCCATCACCCCAAGTCTTCAGTTTCCAGCCACCAAGATGCCTGGGAACTTTCAACAAGTGCTGGCTTCCAAGAAATTCTGGAGGGAGTCACAGGGTCAGAGCTGGAGCTGGTTCAGAAAGCAGCCTGCTTAGGGAGGAGACAGCTTCATCATCATCTCTGCCCACTCAGACATGGTCAGAGCATTTCTGGGCATGCTCTCTGGCTCAGAGTGGGGGTGAGGCGGGTGGCCTGGCAGCGGGAGGGACCCATGTTTGTGAGTCTATGCAGGGGGTCATTTCATCTTCATGACACACCCACGACGTCAAAGCTGTTATTTCATGGAGGGCAAAACTGAGGCCCAGAGAGGTTAAGTAACTTGCCCAAAGTCTCATTGTTAGAAGATACTTTAGATATTAATCAAAGAAGCCAAGATCCAGAACCATCTGGGAGGCTGAGTTGTTAGGACCTTGAAACTGATTGATAGGGGGTCCCACAGGCTGTGATATGCAACGGGAGGCTGTTCTTGGGGAAGAGTTTGCTAGCACCTCTGGGTATGGGACCTTCATCTGGGACAGGCAGACCACTGGCCCTCTCCTGGCCAGAAGCAGATGCTTCTCATCCCTTCCCATGCTCAAAAATTCCAGGACTTTACTTCCTGGAAGTTCAAGGCTCTAAACAGCTTGACTCCATATAGCCACAGGTAAGGGAGGGAAGGTAGGTTTGGAGTGGGGATGGTGGCACTATTTGCTTTCCAGTGACAATTTTCATTTTTGGCCTGAAGTGTCCCCTAGGTGCCAAGAGAGCTCACAGACAAGGCTGGAAGAGGCTGCAGCTCCTAGGGAGGCATCTCCCACCGAGGCCCCTAAAGAGTGACTGTCACAAGTGCCAGGGACAGAGTCCTATCACAGACTTGCCACTGCCTGGCTCTTTACCAGGAATATCTTGTCTCATTTTCAGAACAGTCCTCTGAGGTGGTGGTAGCATGGCTCATTTTTTCAGACGAGAAAGAAAACTGAGTCTAAGGGACGAAGTCAAGTACACGGTTAATACAAGGTAACAGGGCTGGCTACATAGTTTGTGGGGCTCAGTACAAAATGAAAATGCTGGGCTCGTTGTACAAAAGTTATTAAGAATTTTAAGATGCAATAGCAGAAGATAAAGCTGAATGTGGACTCTTGTGGGTACAGACCCTGCACAGCCGCATACGTCCCACACGGGGATTTGGACCCAGGACCAGGGATTCCAGACCTAGTTATTCTCCATCGCGCTCCTTCCAAACCCACAGGCCTGCCTCAGACTTCACCGCCCTGGTTCTTTCTCTTCTTCCTCCACCTTCCCCAGCCTCACCCAACCAGCAGACCCCACCCTTCCCTAATTAGGGGAAGACTCAGGCACTTACATGGAGGTGAAAGGAACTTAAGAAGAAATGACCAAGGCAGAGAGACAGCAGCTGCCAAGATTACAAGCGGTGATGGGCCCAGGCCTCCCGCCTCCTAGAGTAGCCTCTACCCGCTGGGTCTTGGGCAGGAGAAATCCAAGGCAAGGCTGTCTGTTACAGACAGCTGGGAATCTTGGGAGCTGGGAGCCTGCTTCAAGGACAGAGCTGCAATTCCATGGCAGTAGAACCCCCGTTTTCAAAAACCTTAACAAGGACTCCTGGGGCTGTAATCTGCCCCCAGGCTTGGGTCACCAGGCACAACGGAAGGAAGGGCCTGATCAGGCCTTCTGCAGATTCACCCCATCTGGTCTGCAGCCCCAAATGCCCCCAAACAGGGCCAAGGTCAGCCCTTCCTCAGCCACCGACGCTCAGGATGCAGAGTGGGGCCGTGGGTGTGGGGCCAGGCAGGGCTACCAGCTGTGTGGCCTCAGGAAAAGCACTGACCCCTCTGAGGTTGTTTCCTGAAAGGCAAAGTGTGGGTAATGTAGCAGCACCTAGGGATTAAATGAGATAATCCACGTAGAGCACTTAGCATCTTCTCCTTTTTGTAGAATTAACCCATATGTCCATAGGAGAAAGTCTAGAAGGATATGAATGAAACTTTTATGTCTTAAGGGCAGAGAAAAGGGGAAACTTTTCAACTATCAGAACTCTCTATGAGAGTATCTGTTCTGATTCTTTAGGAAAGCAAGCAGCCCGGAGCCAGCACATCCTAGGGATTCCATGGGTGTTAGTTTTGTTTTCTGCCTGTCTCTTCTCTCTTCCTCCAGAGGATCAAAGAGGCCTGATCCCATAACACAAAAGCGCAGGAGCTTCCACAGAGGTTTGCTGGGGTTGGCGGCAAAGGTGGCTCTGGTGGGATGGGGTGAGAGGGTGCAAGGAAGACAAACTTGGCCTGTTGATTTTACCAGAATTTTGCCAACACCTGGCATGACTCGGCTCCACCCTCACTCACTGAGACAGAATCTCAGTGGGCTCCCTCCGTCGCCTCCCTCCATTTCTGGCACAAGAAGAGGCAAACCCAGGGCATCCCGGGCCCAGGAAGCTGTACTGTGGCCCCGCCCCCTCTGAGGCCCCCAGCCTGGCCCAGCACCCACTTCCTTGTGCCCCTAGCCTCATTCCTGCTCTGCACCAGGAAAGGCTCCAAGTCCCAGAGCTGGGAGTCACCCAAGCAGGTCCTAGGACACTGTGAGGTGATCTCCAGCTCAGTTCTCCCAAGACAGGACCTTCCTGTGGGGGAGGACAGAGGCTCTGGCCATGGTCCCAGGGGCCACAGTGGAGGGCTGAGCTTTCCCAAGAAAAGGTATGAAAAGGGGCTGCTCTGGCCAGAGGGAGCCAGGGTGGAGGGGCAGCCAGAGCATCAACTGTTTTCTCTTGTCCCAGAGCCATCACATTCCCAGGAAGAATCACTGAGGTGTGGGGCACAGAATGAGTTTAGGGACCCTGCAGGCCTGCGTTCAAGTCATGCCCCTCCGTGCCACCTTGTCATCTCTGGCTATGAACCTCGTGGTGCAGGATGGCCCAGCAAGGCTGTTGACTTTGCCTCCAAAATCTCTGGAATCTCTACACTTCTCTTCACTGGCCACGCTTGTCCCATCTGGAGTAAGCACCGGCCTCCCCTGTTGCTCTCGCTGCTCCTGTCCCCTGTAGGACACTCTCCACCTGGCAGCCAGAGAGAGCTCGTCTTAAAGAGAAAACCAGATCTCCCCATTTCCCTTCCAAAACCAGTGATATTCGGGTCAATGGTGAACGTTCAGGGAGAAAAACCAAGATTGGTGGCATTTGTCAATTTCTGTCAATCCTCCTGCCATGGCTGATTTCAAGCTACTGGCAATTAAACCACCTGCTTGCAACATGCCTGAAGACTTAACCGTGGTTCTTATGAGCTGGTGTGAGCTGGCTGCAGCACATCACTGCTCTAAAAAATGACAGATGAAATTCACACCCTGGCTGATGTGGCTCCAAATGCTCTGGCTCCCCGCTTGCCCATTCCTCTCACAGTGGCTTTTCTGTTCTGCTTCCCGGTCGCAGGGCCTTTGAACCTGTGGTTCCCTCGGCCTGGAGCACGAGTCTCCAAGCTCTTCACAGTACTCTCTCCCTCTGGCCTTCCAGATCCTAGCTCAGAACCCACCTCTTCAGAGTGGCCTTCCCTCACCAGCTTACCCTTGATGCCCTCACCCCGTGTTGCTCTATTTTAGCACTCCTTACTGCAGATTTTTTCCCTCCCCACTGGAATGTGATCTCCATGAGGACAAGGTCTGGGACCAAATTGACATCTAGACCTCCCGATGTCTCAGTGTCTAGAAGAATAGTGCTGGACACACAGCAGGTGCTCAATAGATGTATGCATACAAATGGAGCTTTGGAGACGCACAGCTTTGGGTCCAAGTCACGACTCTCGTACCAACCATCTGTGTAACCATCATGAATCATTCAGTCCCTCTGAGCCTCTGTTTCCTCATCTGTAAGTGGGGGACAACAGTGCCTATGTGATGGGGCTGTGAGGACCTAATGATGACATAGGTAAGGCACTCAGTACAGTGTCTGTCATACCAGGACCTCAGTAAATGAGAATGGCCTCTTCACTTGAATACATTCAGTGATGGGAAGCTCATCCCCTCCCAAGGTAGCCTCTTCATCCACTTCTGGGTCCCTGTGGCCACTAAAACACCTGCCCTTTCCTGTGTGGAATCCAAGTTAGTCTCTTCCAGTGTCCCCTCCCTCAGTCCTGGTTCAACAACTTCCCACATGGAAAGTCTCTTGCTATTAAAACCTCTTTCTTAATGTTGGCCTGAAGTTGACAGAGTCGTTTCAGCATGAAAGGAGCACTAAGGATAGATCAGACATTTCTCTGCTTTCATCAGGCATGAGCTGTCTGGCCTTGGGCGAGTCCCTTATCCTCACTGAGCCTCAGTTTCTTCCTCCATGAAATGGGATTAGCAATAATACTTATCTCCTGGGGTTGTTGTGGAGATGAAATTAGCTGGTATACATGAGGCACTCAGCATCTAGCACAAAGAACGTGCTCGAAAGACATCACTGCCATCATGCCTGGTGCAGCTCCACCCTCAGATCTGGCATCTGTGGCCTTTTTCTGCCCCAAAGGCCAGGCCTCTCCTGAATGCTCTCCAGCCAAGCTGGAGAAAGGGCCTGCCCTGGCTCACCCACCCCAACCTGCACTCCCATCTGTCAGAACTGCCCCCTCACGGTCCACAAGGGGGTGACTCAGAGCTTCCCCAAATCTCCCATGGGACTACCTGACCCTGGGCAGTCATTTCATCCACTGAGCTTGGAAGGAGAGGTCCCCAGGCCCTGGAAAACAAGCTGCCCTGAGGAGGGAACTGAGAGTGGCTGGGTCCACTCCGGGCTGGGGTGGCTTCTGCCAGCTCCCTGGGTGGCCTGGACCAGCCCTCTTTCTTATCATTTTTATGGTTTCCTGATGTTCTTAAAAATGCTGATGGTGGTAGAGAACGCGGCCAAGGAGACTAGTTAAGAGCCGAAATGAGGAAGGGGGAAGACCAGGAGAGCGGTATTCCAAACACTGAGAAAGAAGCAGACCCAAGAGAGTCTAGGGAAGAAGCAGATCGAAGATGGTGCCAGGATTTCTGAGTCCCTGGGGCTGCAATGCGGTGAGCAGTCACACCTGTGATCCTGTCCCCTTTCATGGCAATGGGGATTTTGCCGATGTTGTTTACCAATCAACTGACCTTGAAATGGGAAGATTACCCTTGGGTCTAACTGATTACACAAGCCCTTTCAGAGCAGAGCGTTTTCTCTGTGGCTGGTAGAAGAGGAAGTCTGAGAGATTGGATGGGTGAGAGGGATTCAGTGGGAACAGAGAACAGAGGTCACGTTGCTGACATGGCAGGGGTCATGGGGCAAAGACTGGAGCCAAGGACAGGTCCCCAGCGGCAGTCAGCAAGGAAACAGGGACCTCAGGCCTGTGGCTGCAGGGAACTGAACGCTGCCAGCCACCTGAGTAAGTGAATGTAGAGCCTTCCCCGGGGCCTCCGGATAACAGGCTAGACCTTGACTTCGGCCTAATGGGACCCAAAGAAGAGAAGCCAGTGTCGCCCTCCCAGCACCCACAGCACATCGGGGCTGGTTCAGGAAAGACCCTCCAAGACCTATGAGACCCACTGAGAATTTGGGTTTTGATCTAGGGGGCCCTAGGGACCCAGGTGGGCGTAAGAAACAAGGTCAATGTGAGTTTCAAGGCTATTATTTTACCTCTTTTAATTCTAAGTATCCCAAAGCCAGGAGAATAATTGCATCTGGATGAAATCCTGACCACTTCCTGGGAAGAGTGTAGAGGAGAAAGGCCACCCACGTGCCCCACTGAGCATGCCAGGGCCACTGATGGCTCCTGCGTGTATAGGAGCACTACACTCTGAGCAGCGTCTGCCCTAGGGAGAGGCATGGGACTGGCCAGCTGAGGCAAGTGGTGCGCTCTGGCCTCAACGGGCTTCCCAGTGATGGAGGTCACGGTGCATCACAGAGCAGCCTGCAATTTTCACAGTCTGTGCGTATCCTGGGTCCTGGGCTGCAATGCCTCTGACCTGGGAGCTGGATATCGGGGCCTCAGCCAGTGTCGAGGGGATGGCTGGCCCTTTAGAGGATAGTCTACCTGACTCCCTAGGGTCTGCAGCAGCTGTCAAGCCTCTCAGGAACTCTGGCAGAAGGATGGGGCCTGAATCTACATAAGGTAGAGGCTATTTACCCTTGTGCTCATTCAGACTCTCCTGCCCTCTCTCACCATCTCACCCATGGACCCCAAACATTGCAGTTTACCCAATCTTTTTGTATCAAGATCTCATGGAGCTGCAGGCATGTGGGGTCCCACACTCAGAAGTGCTTGCTTTAAGGCTCTGCTATTGCTGTCTCCCATTCCCTTTCCCATCCCCTTCTCCCATGCCCTCCTCCCATCCCCTCCTCCCATCCCCTCTTCCCATCCCCTCCTCCCACCCCCTCCTCCCATCCCCTCTCCCACACCCTTTTTCTACTCCCTCCTCCCACCCCTCTCCTATTCCCTCTCCCCTCCCCTCCTCCCAGTTCCTCTCCCACCCCCTCCTCCCATCCCTTCCTCTCATCCCCTCTGCCATCCCCTCTTCCATGCCCCTCTCCCACCCCCTCCTCCCGTCCCCTCCTTCCATTCCCTCCTCTCTGGCCCCACCCCTCCTCCCACTCCTCCTTCCAGATGCCCCCACCCTCCTACTGTTTCTCCCTGGTCCCTCCCCTCCCCCACGCCCTCCTTTCCACTTCCCTCCCCTCCCTCCTCCCTGAAGCTGCACCTCCTGTGGGTAGGAGGTATACATTCCAGGAGCTGACACTGCTGCTGGCTCTTTGCAGGGATCGTGGCATTTAATTTATGCCTTGAGGATAAAAATAAAATAGTTCCACTTGTTGGGCACTCACCTCCTGCAGCCCCTGTCACAGACTGGCTGGAATGTTAACTCTTTGAAGCCTCACTCCTGCCCTCCTGCCCGGGAGGAAGCTGTTGCAGTCCTGACTCCTGCCTCACTGGTGAGGCCCTGGGGCTGCCCACCTCCAGAGAGTGGAGGGAAGACAGAACCAGGGCTGGCCCAGCGCCCACACCAACCCCATGCCAGCCACTCCCAGGGCCCACACAGCCCAAGGGAGAGGGCATTCCAGGCCCAAAAGGGTTCAAGAGGCCAGACACAGTTGGACAGATGTGGAGCCGTGAGGGAGAGGAGGCTGCACAGGTCGTCTGGGACTAACACAGAGGCTGTGGAGGCCCTGCCAAGAAGATCCAGCAAAATGCAATCACCTGGAGCCTGCTTTGATTCTCTCCAGGCCAGCCTTTCCCAAAAGGTGATTCAGCAGCCCTTGGGTTGGACAGGCACACCTGGGTCAGAAACTGGACCTTGGGCCCCGCCGCCTGGAGAGCATCTGCAGGCCCCTACCGTCCTTTCCTGGGACATGTGGCACAGCTGACATTTGATCCCACTGGGCTAGGCAGTGCTGTTAAATATAAAGCCAGAGGCCTGGAGGGCAGGGCAAAGACAGGGAGGCCAGCTGGACCACCAGGAGGGCCCTGGGCAGGCCCAGCAGCAGCATCCAGTCAGCACTCATCCCAGGAGACTGGGGCTGGCAGCGCCCCGTGGGCTGCAGGACGTCCACCCTCAGGGCATAGCCCTGGCTGTCAGCAGGCACTAGGTGTGACTGGCCAAGTCACACGCTCTTCAGGGGCCAGGCCAGGAGCTGTGACAGTGCAGTTTGGAGGGGATGTGGCCAGCTTCAGTGGCACCAGGAAAAGTGGGAGGTAAGGGAGAAAGGGAAAGGAAAGACAGAAAGAAACTTAAAATCTAGACCCTGCATTAATGGAACAAACCTAGAAACATGTTTTCAAGGCTCTGCGATGCCTTCTTAGCTGTGAAGTAAAGGTGGCCACTTTGGACCATGAAAAACACCCACATCACGTGCCCGTTCTTTTCATGCTCTCACCTTCCTCGCTCAGCGTCAGTTCATACCACGGGGCCCTGAGCTTCCTGGAAGGTTACCTTACCGGGTGTGTAGAAGACCATGCATGTGCATGAGTGTGTATGAGAGCAACAAATATATATGTTAACTGAATTCTTTTTTCCTTTTTCTTCGAAATGGGGTCTTGGCGTGTCACCCAGGCTGGAGTGCAGTGGCACAATTTCAGCTTACTGCAACCTCCTCCTCCCGGGCTCAAGTGATCCTTCCACCTCAGCCTTCTGAGTAGCTGGGACTACAGGTGCATGCCACCATGTCCAGCTAATTTTTGTATTTTTTGTAGAGAAGGAGTTTCACCAGTTTGCTCAAGCTGGTCTCAATCTCTGCCTGCCTTGGCCTCCCAAAGTGTTGGGATTACAGGCATGAACCACCATGCCTGGAGGTTGAATTTTTTCCAGCAACCAACTATTTTGAAGTGATGTGGGATAGGAGGTTGAATCCCAGGATTCACAAACTCTTTCAAAATAATTATCCCATTTTTTATTTCTATTTTTGAAAATATTTAGGTAGGCTTGATTTAAATTCCAACTGATTTACAATTAGAATTTTTCTTCTCAGAGAAAAAAGATTGGCGGATGCAGCAACTTCCAGTTGCTCATCTGGTTTCAGAGGCACTCAGGGTGCAGAAGGCCTGTGTTCCTAAGAGCCACAGTGCACACCGTCCTCCATTTCTCAGGGCTCTGGAGAGGGGAAAGGTTTGCATAGGCTCAGAGCTTTCAAGAAGGTTGAAGAGCAGCACACTGGTGGTTAGGCCCAAGTCCTTTCCAACGTGTCAGGTGCCTCGCATACCTGTAGAGTTGTTAGTTTACATGTCTCACATGTGCTCTTACGCGCACACTGAGGCATCCACACACGCACGTGCATGCATGTGCACGAAGAAAGAGACAGAGCGCTGCATCTGTAAAAACAGGAGACTTCAGCAGGTACTTTGTATTTGTATAAGACTAGCTCAGCCAGATGCGGTGGTTTATGCCTGTAATTCCAGCACTTTGGGAGGCTGAGGTCAAGTATTCAAGACTAGCCTGGCCAACATGGTGAAATCCCGTCTCTACTAAAAATACAAAAATTAGCCAGGCATGGTGGCAGATGCCTGTAATCCCAGCTACTCAGGAGGTTGAAGCATGAGAATTGCTTGAACCCGGGAGGCGGAGGTTGCAGTGAGCCAAGATCATATCGTTCATTACACTCTAGCCTGGGCAACAGAGGGAGACTCGGCCTCAAAAAAAGACTAGTTCATTTGCCTACTGTCTACTAACCGGTGGGTTAAGTCCACCTTTTCACTTAGATAATGTAAACTGTGTGTGTGTGGTGTACTGTCAGCTGAGCACCATCTGTGTGTGTGTGTGTGTGTGTGTGTGTGGTGTACTGTCAGCTGAGCACCATTTGTGTGTGTGTGTGTGTGTGTGTGTGGTGTACTGTCAGCTGAGCACCATCTGTGTGTGTGTGTGTGTGTGTGGTGTACTGTCAGCTGAGCACCATCTGTGTGTGTGTGTGTGTGTGTGTGGTGTACTGTCAGCTGAGCACCATCTGTGTGTGTGTGTGTGTGTGTGTGTGTGGTGTACTGTCAGCTGAGCACCATTTGTGTGTGTGTGTGTGTGTGTGTGTGGTGTACTGTCAGCTGAGCACCATCTGTGTGTGTGTGTGTGTGTGGTGTACTGTCAGCTGAGCACCATCTGTGTGTGTGTGTGTGTGTGTGTGGTGTACTGTCAGCTGAGCACCATTTGTGTGTGTGTGTGTGTGTGTGTGTGTGTGGTGTACTGTCAGCTGAGCACCATCTGTGTGTGTGTGTGTGTGTGTGGTGTACTGTCAGCTGAGCACCATCTGTGTGTGTGTGTGTGTGTGTGTGTGTGTGGTGTACTGTCAGCTGAGCACCATCTGTGTGTGTGTGGTGTACTGTCAGCTGAGCACCATCTGTGTGTGTGTGTGTGTGGTGTACTGTCAGCTGAACACCATCTGTGTGTGGGGGGGTATACTGTCAGCTGAGCACCATCTGTGTGTGTGTGTGTGTGTGTGTGTGTGTCTGAATGCACCAGCTACAAGTAGGGCTGAGACCCATCTGGGACACCCCTTTTTGCTTAAAGTAGGGCCCCCAACCTGCACATGGTCATTGTGGCTGTTCTTTCTGTGCTGCTCAACCCACAGCCATGTGTGCCTGCTGGTGACCTTCAGAGATGGCCCCATTCAGTGAGTCATCCTATAGTCACAGGTGTTGGAAATCTGCTCAGTTCTCCTGGTGGCAGCTATTCCTGAAATCCAAAGCCACCCCTTTGTCAGCTCAGCATGGGCCCATTCTCCTCCCTAAGAGCCACTTCCCACTTCCCCTGCTCTTCAGCCAGACTTCCTCCCCATGGCACTGTGGACATTTGGGCCTAATTTTATGGGGGGCCGGGGACGGGCATGGGTCCTGTCTGGTTCATTGTAGGATGTTCAGCAGCACCCCTGGCCTCTGCCCACTACATGCCAAGAGCACCCTCCCCTTTCCCCAAGTTGTGGCAACTCAAAATATCTTCAGGAATTGTCCCCAGTTAGGAACCGCTGTCCCCAGCCAACCACCATCCCCTCTGTCTCTGTCAGGAAGTTTAAGTTAATAACAACTTCTAACATTTCTAAGTCTTTAATCTAAGGGATATTTACATATATAAATATACTATGTATAAATTATATATAACTCGTATTATTTATTCTGTATATGTTATATTAATATGTAAACACATATCATATATCTGAGTGTTTACATATACACATACACATATATACACAGAATGCTTGGGGGTACTATATCAAATAATTTAATCTTTGCAAAGTTCCTGTGAGCTATGGATACGACTGTTCTCCTCCTCCCTACAGTGGTTATCGGGAAACCAAGGCAGAGAAGTTAAATAGACTTTCCCAGGTCACACGACTAGCAAGTGGTTGAGCCGGCAGATGACTCCAGAGTCTGAGCTCTCAGTCACAGGCCCTGCAGAGGGATCTGGGGCAGTCACCTCACCAGCCAGTCTGTGCTGGGAGCGGCTCCCAGCCTGACCTCCTGTGGCTGGGAACAATGAGGCACAATTATATTGACACCTGAGTCCCCCGGCACCTTCCTGGGGTTTGTGATACGTTGCAAACCACAATCTCCTCACCCCTTGGCATTTCTGGGAGTCTCCAGGGGGTAGCAGCCATCTTGAATGTGCCCATGAGGAAGTCCAGCCTAATGTCTGGGCTCATCCTCCTCCAGTGTGGTGAGGTTCCTGCCAATTTGCCCCACAACGTGGATTTCTGGTCTATGGTCTGATGTGA